TCATAATTCAAGGTTTTGCCCCAATTAAAATAAACCGGTCGCCATTTAGTTGTATTCTTACTTCTCCGTTTAAAAATACTTAACATATAATCACAAGATCATAAATCGCTCAATTCATATCCGGTTTATTCTAACCCGGTCAATGCACCAGACGGTTTATTTTAAGTCGCTCATTCCTTGACCGGTTTAAGGCTTAAATCGCCCAACTCTTATCCGATTTAGGAAAATCCGGGTAATACTCATACGGTTAAAACTTTAAACTGAATAAAAAGGTGATACAAACAATTCATGCATTCTCAAGGAATAAAAACCACTCACCTTTGAATTTCTTTTTTTGAAAAACCAACTGAATCTTGGTGAAATGCAATCCGGTCAATCCTCCTTACTTAAATCGCACACTAATTTTGAAAATAGCAAGAAGAATGAAATGGAGGTTAAACCCTCCTTTTATACCTTTCCGAAACAAAATGGCGGCTAAACCGCCTCCTTCACATGCATACATTCATACTACCATAACCCATGCATACATTCATTCATGCATATATTCAACACAGGTATGTGAAGCATACTAATTCATGTATAATCACATACATACCATCTTATACATGCATTTCACATTACACATATATCCATATAAAATTGATGCATACTTATATAGTTTCACCCATTAGCATRATCAAATATAACAATTTATCATGCTATCACGTAATCATTTAACAAATAATCACGTAATAATTACCTCAGATGATAACCAGGATTCAGTTATCATACGACGGTGGTTCAGATCGGTGGTAATCGGTGGTGGTGGTCGATGGTGGTTCAGATGGCGACGGTCGAGGTGGTTCAGATGGCGGTGGTCAGCGGTGATTCAGGTCGACGATGGTCATATTGGGTTTTATAAGATTAGGGTATATTGGGTTAGATCATATTTGGTATTATGAAAATAGAGAATTCCATTCCATCAAAATGCCTTGTATTTGCTAAAGAATGTTAATTCCCTTTCTTTATGAAACTTGTAGGATTTTGAAGATTCATTTCGTGAAAAATAATGAAACAAACAAGAGAATAGAATTTGGTCAATGAAATTCAACATTCCAATTTTATTAGATTCCTTTAGAATCTGCGAACCGAACACCCCTTTAAATTCTTGGTGGTTCATTAAATTCTTCTTTTTGATGACGATCATTTCGGGTTGTTGGCTAAGCCCAAAAGGAACTCAAATGTTTCTTATGAGGTGATAAGGTCGATTGAACAAATATGCAGTGATGTAGGGAGAAAGGTTTGGTATAGTTTAACGTGATGATGTTCCAGGTATCATGTTGAACCCTGGATGGAGAAATAAAGTCGGCGGGAGGGAGAAAAAGGAAGGTGTTGTGTTGACTTTGGTTGAACTTGAATGTGGCAACGAAGTTTCACACAACTAGAGAGGGACGGCGGCGGTGGTAGGATTTATATTAGAGTTTTCTTGGTTCTTTATGGAGAATTAAAAGTTTTTAAAACTAAATGTTTTATTTTCCATGTCATATTTTCAAAAGCTACATCTCATTTTAAACAAAATTTTAAAAGTACATATATCATTAGAATATGAATCAAGTTAAAGTATGTTGTATTTTCCTACAATTTGCCTTTTTAATTTTTATTGAAGATTGAAATTTCTTTACTTCATTTCAGGATACGAATGTATTATTGGTTTCATGTGAAACTCTTGTCATTTAGGTTTAATCTTCATTTTCTTTTTAGCTTCATCAACTACATATACTTATTATTCTTTCTAATTTAAATACTTAACAAATAATTTTGTTTTTCTTTAGATAAACTTAATTATTCAAATCCTTATGTCAATTCTTAGTTATTGAATATTGATATTGCTACTGTTATTCAAATAAGAATCAACATATTTTCAAACTCATTAATTGGTGACCGCTTATAACTTTTAGCATGCGTTCTACACATGACATATATAGGCCACAAATCATACTTGATTTGATATGATTATCAATTGTAAAATACACACATAAAAATAATATTCATTTTGCTATTTTTGTTGATCAAATCCGAATAAAACTATTTTCAAACCAATTGGTGACCATGTAGACTTTTAGCATGTGTTCTAGACGACAAATATAGTACGTCCACTAAACGTGTTAACTAATATAGTTCATCAACTGCAACAATATTTTCAATATATATATAATCAAATATTTGAATCCTGGATAAACCTACTTCCATACAAATCAATGACTACAAAGCATGTGTTCTACACACGACAAATAAAGTCTACAAATCATACGCTGATGCAATTTATCAAATATAAAACAACTATATCTAAAATATCAAGTATTAATTGATTTGACTAGTCACTCATGTTAATATTCGAATAAACCTAGTTTTAGAGGCATTGGATACACTTAGAACTTTAGCATGTGTTCCACACACGATAAATATTGTTCACCAATCATAGTTGATTAATCAACGCAATATATTGTAACACTAGTTTCGAATATATATATATATATATATATATATATATTTAGTATTGAATTCCCTAGTTTTATTCAGGTCCAATTAAACATATTTTCTAAACATATATGGCTAACCACTAAAATTTTATCATGTGTTGTACACACGACAAATATAGTTCAATAATCATAAAAATTTAAATATGTACATACATGCATATATATATATATATATATATGCGTACATAAGACAAAAATATTAAGTTTACTAATCAAGCGAGAAAATCTCTTTTTATCTTCTTAGTCAAAAACTTTCATCGTAGTTTGGTTGACCTAAGGACGGACAATTTTTGTTATCTAAAGGCAAAGATTGATGTGGGCAAGCACTTGGCTCCCCCATTTAGGCTCTCGCTAGAATAAGAACTTCATATGGGGGTATATATATATATATATATGAGTTTTGGATCATGTGAGAAATTTTCATATTTGTGAAATACGTGAGACATTGTGAATTTACTTTTATATTGTGTGAATGTTAGGTTATATTTTATGAATATGATAACATTCACATGAACCTCAAAATATGGTTGAGAAGTTCCTATGAAAATGGTCACATACAATCCCTTCAAACAATATAAAGTTATCTACATTTCTCCCAATTTATAAACATGGGTATTTCTCATAGGATTATTGGGCCGGGAACCAACTAATCATGATGAATAATTAACATTGAATAATCATGAATAATATTCATTATAAATATTTCACTAACATAATGCATTTTCATCATCTATGATTTAATGCATTTTTATCTTGCATTTTTATCATATATCATGTATTGTATTATTAATATCATGTATCTTCGTTTTGAATATTTTTCAATCATAAATATCTATCTTGCCGTTTATCATGAATAAAATTTTCATGATTGAGTGTTATTTTCAATTAGTTTGTGTGGTTCTCATTTTAAGCCACCCTTTTAATAATAATAATAATAATAATAATAATAATAATAATAATAATAATAATAATAATAATAATAATAATAATAATAATAATAAATAATAATAATAATAATAATAATAATAATCAAACAAGAAGACAGTCAACTTACGAGAAGAATCAAATCACATATGTTTTACCACACACTCAGAAAAAAAAAAACCAACGGGTCAATACTGTCTTTTTAATCATATATAAAATCACATGTGATTCGACACTTCTCACACTCCTATAAAAAATAGAGTATTGATTTTTCCGTATAATTTTAATCCGATAAACATTATCTTAAAAAACTGGTGATCATCCCGTACTTTAACATGTGTTCTACAAACAACAAATGTAGTCCACAAATCAAGTTGATGCGATTTATAAAATGTAACACAAAAATCAAGAGATTCAAACCTAAACGCAACTCTATGACTAAAATTACACAAATTGTTTTGACAACTTGATCTTCCTTAATACACTACTACGAAACCACTTTTTGTAGACTGCAAATACCGATGGATGCATTTGTCACTAATGGTTTCCTCATAAGAATTTATCAACAATTACGAAATTCAAAAAATAAAAACGAACTATAGACGGATTAATGATAAGGCATAAGCCGTCGGCAATCCATCATTGATTAGCGTCGTTATGGCGACAAATTTATGACCGTCAAAAGATCCGTCAGTAATCATTCAATTTATTTAAGGTTTTTTTTGTAAATTCTCGATAATCCTTCATCGACAATGTACTGTTTTAATTCAATCCTTAGTAATCCGTTGATAATGGTAATAAATTCACGATGGATCAACGACGACAATATATTTAAAGCTATATTTTTAAACTTGCACTTTTTCTTGATAAATTCTCGGTAATCTGTCGGCGATCCAAGCAGTAAAAACCCTAATATAAATTTCGTAATAGTGTGAATAATCCCATATGTAGAAACAAATATTGTTAAACGACAATATTTGTTTTTTATTTATTAGTAATTAATGTTTACGACTAATGAAGTCCATATATAAATGTTTGTTGAAAATTTTAATATTTTAAAAGTATATAATTAAATAGAGTTTGTTTCAAATACAATCCATCACATTTGTACAATCAATGCAACTCAATAAATTAAAATATTTATAGAAATGATGAGAGTTTATTTATTATGATTTAAATATTTATGGAAGATGAATAAGGTTCATTAATTATAATCAATATTTTATATTAAAAAACAATCAAAACTTTTATTGCATATTCATCAAATTAAATGGACGGTTGAGATTGAGCTGTATTAGTTGTACAAATATAAAGAATTATATGATAACCCACCTCTAATTAAATATCTCCGTTAAATCAATGTTGCATGTATCATTGTAATTTCTATTATATATTTGCAGTGTGGATGCAACTAATAATAATAGATTCTTATGAAGCATATGAAATTAGAAAGAAAGCAAGGTTGATCCCTTTTCTTGAAATGGTCGTGGGACCATCCCTTGTGCCCATAAATACGCCACACTCCCCCTTGACAATGCCACACAAACCTGATTCTTTCATCTTTCTTTTGACTTGCAGAGGTCTTGTTCTTGACGACCCTGTCAACTCCACCATACTCTTTTCTTTTGCTCACATAATTCATGGGTTCCTTTCACGATGAGGCTTCTCTGGTCGAGAAAGTGTGTGAGATCTACGACAAAATCTCGAAACTTGAAACCCTCAAACCCTCGAAAGACGTCGATACTCTCTTCACCCAGCTTGTACTCACATGCATCCCACCTTCTTCCATCAACATGTCTGATCTTCCAGAAAACATTCAAGAAACAAGGTCTAAGCTTATTCGACTTTGTGGGGAGGCTGAAGGCCATTTAGAGGCTCATTTCTCCACCCTTTTAGCCTCTTTCCCTAACCCTCTTCACCATCTCCACGTCTTCCCTTATTACTCCAATTATCTCAAGCTCGGTCGTCTTGAGTTCGACATCCTCAATCGACACTACTCCACCGAGCCCACGGACGTCCCCAAGAATGTTGCTTTCATAGGGTCTGGCCCTTTACCACTCACCTCCATCGTCTTGGCTACTTATCATCTAACGAACACGGCTTTTCACAACTATGACATTGACCCTTTGGCGAATTCCATGGCTTCTTGCCTGGTTTCACCTGATTCTGATTTGTCCCAGAGGATGTTTTTCCACTCGACGGATATAATGGAGGTGACAGAGGAGTTGAAGGAATATGATGTGGTTTTCTTGGCCGCACTGGTCGGAATGGATATCAAAGATAAGGTTAAAGTGATCCAGCATCTGGCCAAGTATATGGCGCCAGAAGCCATCCTGATGTTGCGAAGTGCTCATGGTGCTCGTGCTTTTCTGTACCCAGTTGTTAATCCGGAAGATCTTCAAGGGTTTGAGGTGTTGTCGATCTTTCATCCTCACGATGAGGTCATCAACTCTGTTGTAATTGCACGTAAGCATCCGACGCCGGTGGAAGTCGATCATAGTCATCATCATCAGCTGGGGATTGGATCCATCATGCCTTCTAGTTGCAAGTATTGTGATTTCCAAGCTTTTAACAATCCACTGAACCAGATGAACATAATTGAGGAATTGGCAATGGACGAGTAGACATATCATCTCTCTTTCTCCCTCTAGAAACAATCGATCCCTTTATCATTTCCTAATCAGATTGTATTGTTATGAACTAGCTACATATATATATATATATATATATATATGCATGCATAACTTATGATTTGTGTCAGTTTAATTTATGTAAACTCGAGAATTGAAGAAATAAAAACCTCAATTGTGTTTCTAGTGTCAATTTTTTGGATGCATCATGCATGCTTCCAAACTTCCTCAAAAATGCAGCCTTTTTTCTCTTCTTGTTTTTGTCAGTTTTTTTGTGATTTCATTTTTCTTTTTGTGATGGATAATAAAACAAGGTTCTGATGGAAGCATGCAAAAGGATTGGTTACCACATACAATTTTTTTAACAGAAAGGGAGCTGTGAGATATTTTTGACGCACAAATTTGTAACAAAATCATCAAAAAAAAGAACTTAATAAATTAAGTCGTCTGAAGACCATTAAAAACTCATCAATAAAAGCATCTATCAAGGACGTCCGTCAAAAGTGTTTCTCTACAAGCAATGGACATTTTATTAAAAGAAAGGACACATCAATTTTTAGATATATTGTAATTATTCAAAGAAGCTAGGTTTTTTTTTATGAACTAGGATATCCAACCCGTTATGCGAGTCGACTAATTCTAGAACGACCACCTGCTTTGCGAGTAGCCTGGAGTCACCACATTTGAACCTGTGTGGCCACAAAGGGATTTTTATTCCTCCTGGAATTTGAACCTGAGACCTCCAGACACTTTTAACCTTTGGAGCCTACTCAAACCAATCAGGCAACACCCTTTTGGTTTAAAGAAGCTAGCTTTAAGAACACAGTAGAATGGAAGTTGTAATCGTCGGGGAGAATATGTCTAAGTGTTTGGACAAAAGAGGTTTTGTAATAATTAAAGGAGATCTAACTTCCTTTTGTTTAAATGTCCTAAGACTTAATTTGTCCCATATAAGTGTATATGTAGTTACTTAGAAGAAAGATGAGTTAGAACTAAGAGAACATAAGAATCCAAGATGTAAGATAAAGATAGTAGATGTAAGATAAAGATAGTAGTTTTAGGGGTGTTTAGGATTGTTTATTTGAAACAACTTATGTTTTTCGTACTTATCAACTTATTACAAGTCAGAAGGGCTTAACTTATTCAAAAACTTCTTATTATCCGTTTGACATCGGTATAAACTGTTTATCCAAACCGGTATCACATCGGAATAAGCCAATAAGTTGTTTTTATAAGCAATCTCAAACACCTTAATATCACTATCAATAACTAGTGTGCACTTATTGTGTATATATGTGATTAACGGTGATGTTCTGACACTTTTTATATTAACTAATTGATAAAAAAAAATCACGTAAAACATCTTATATGTATGCGCTAACCATATTTTACGTAACGTCCTTCTTAACGCTGCGATCTTAAAATCTAACAACTCTTTGACTATATTTAGCGGTCATCTCCACTATTTAATCCATCATTAACGAATTACTTTATCTATCTTTCATCTACACAATCTTTAATTTGAGATATTATAAATTAAATAATTGCTAAAAGTAAATTATATTTTGATTAAAATAATAAATCAAAAACGCTTTATTTCTCTCGGTGTCGTGTCGTCGCATTATTTACAAAGTGATACTTGCTTTTTACTGTACAAAAATTAAGAGAAAAAGTTTGAGTTGGAAATGTCAACATATTTCAACATTTAGCTTTTCAACTATCGACGATTCTATTTAGAATCCAAAAGAAGAATAAAATATAAATGTAATACTTAGAAGAAAAAAACATCATTTTGTTATAAATATTCAAGAAATTTGTCAAGAATCTAAAGTCATAACTCCGAGATCGCATTATGATTACGATTATATACTCGTTTGATAATGTGTTTTCCTATCAAAGATATGATTGTTATTTTTTTGTAAAGCTAACGCTATATTACCAAATTAAAAAAAAAACAAAACACAAGGTCCGCAAGAAGAAACGCCACTCGAAACCAAAATAAATACACAACACCAAAGAAACGAGAAAAACAAAAGCACAATAAGAAAGTTGCTAACGGAACACGCAAGGCCTAGACAACCGATAGAGACTCAACGAAAGCTTCAAAAAGCAGCTATTTAAGAAACCTCTGAAACAAATTTGTATATATGACTCATGTTTTTATGTTTATATAACATGTAAATTGAAGAAGAAAATGAAACAATTATTTATTTGTTTATGTTTTTTAAACAGTAAACTGTTTTTAAAAATATACTTACTTAAATTCAATTATTATTTTGAGAAATATATTTGAGTGTTTATAGTTTAAATTTTGGCAAATATATTTTAAATAAACTTTAAAATATAGATTGTTAACTGGAGTTTTCTTTTTCAAAATATATGTTACACATTTTTTATTCTCTTAGACATTTGAAGTTACTTTTAAAACCATTTCACTCAACATGATATTCAAATTGATTTTTGTTATTTCTATAAAAATCAAACTAAGTTTAAAATATATTGTCAATCTCAGTAAAAATATTTCTTCTTTTAAACATTTTGTATACTAATTTTTAAAGAAGTGTTTTTTATAAAAAGGCGAGTATAACAAAAGAAATTGAATCATTTTACTTATCTTTAGAAGAAAAAAATACGTATTTATACAATACCAAACACATCTCAACCATGCACACTACCTTCCACCACTCTAAACCACCCTCCACCACTCATCACCGTCGTCCTCGTTGGACACACTCCAAAAGCCCATTCACTAAATCTTTCCTCGAAAGATTGTTCATCATTTTGAAGTTAAGATTGAACAATTTTTGTACCATACTTTTCTTAACAGTGGCTTTTGTATAAAAACAACATCTGTGTATGTTGAGTTCATATTGATCACATATACATTGTATTTTGTTTAACCAGTCTTTGTTAACTTTCCATCCTTGTACCTTATGGTGTAGAGGTCTTCTCCAAAACTCACTGAAGAGTCATTTCTCACAAAGTTGGTTGATGCTAAGTTGATTATGCACCAGTCCTTCAAAATACACGACCATACATGGCTGGAGAGAGTCGATAGAAACTTCCTTGGTAAGCTTTTATCTTCAACATAAGGAGAAATTTTCAAACTCCTCAGCATTGTCTTTGAATCAGGGCGTTGATCTTCATATGCATGCAGAACACTGAACCTATTCAACTTTCTACAACATTGTTTCATAGTTTGTATTCGGCTTGCTAATAGTTGTACGTATAACCAACTTGATTTTAGGTTCAATAAACTAAATTATAATGTTTGTTGGTTTATGGAATTCATGAGGAACATTGCACACATTATTTAAAAAATCAACATGCATTCATTTGCCATCGTTGTTATAAGAATCTATCTATCACAACTTATCCCATTAAAATAAAACAAAACATATATAGCTTTTTTAAATAAGAGGCAGTTTGGTGTTTAAGATATTTTTAAGCATATTTTCAAAACAAACAACCCTTCAACTTATAGATTAGTCAAAATCCATCCTAAACTTTTTTAAATCAAAATAAACCCTGTTATCTCTCTCTCTCTCTCTCTCTCTCTCTCTCTCACTCACACACACACACACACACACATATATATATATATATATATATATATAGCCAAATGTTATTTTGAGAAGTGGTAAATATTTGAGAAATAAAGAAGTGATGTTAGCCTTTCATCCGGTCAAGATCGGATTTGACTGTTCAATAACTGGGGTTTTCATTGGTCAATAATTACGGCTTTGATTGGTCAAAAATTGCGACAATAATAAAAATAGAGAGGGTAGGTTCGTAACTTTTACAAAACGGGTTCATATATGAACCTATGTGATCCACATATGAACTATATGTTCATATGTGAACTTGTGTAATTCACATATAAACTATTTTAACTAATTCATATATAAACTATATGTTCATATGCGAACTCGTAAAATTCACATATGAACTATTTTAATTGATTCACATATGAATCCGTGTGATTAATGTAACACCCCAAATTCTCATTTGCAAAAAAAAAAAAAAAAAAACCCACATATTTCATATATCATGAAATACAAATTTACACATTAGGTCTCAATATATACAAGAGGCTACATTACAAAAGTAGTTATCAAATGTTTCATAGATACTCAGTGCAAGACTTGTACACAACAATTATTCAGGTACAAATAACATCACATCTTCCAAAAATCCATATATACAAGCAATCATGAATCCCTTTACAATTTTCCCTTCCCCTTTTCCTTAGATTGAGCCCGACCTGTAATGCACATTTTAAAACACCAAAATGAGGGTTAGACCATGAGGTCTAGTGAGAAATCAATTTAATTGCTATTACAGGGTGAAATCACCAAAAAACTTTTATAAAACCCATATTTGTATAAATAACAAATAAAGATTGTTTTATTAAAACAAACTTCTTTTGTCGCATCAAGAAGATGAGACAACACCCACCTATCGCGTCAAATAACCAAATAAACCATTTATCGCATAACGCATAAACTTGTCGCACAATATAAATAAAACCATAATATTTCTCACATCACTAGGATGAGACAACCCCATTTCCTTGCATCACACAGATGCGATAACCCATCTCATCGCATCCAACACATACGATAAATACATCGATTTTGTCGCATCAATAGGATGCGATAACACAATCTCAAGGACGTGACAAACACACTTCTCGCGTCACAAGGATGCAATGATGTCCAATCCTCGCATCACAAGGATGCGATAAAGTCCTCTCATCACATCATGAAGATGAAATAAACCAAAGTCATCGCATCATGACACAAATCTAAAATCCTAGTTTTAACATACAGGTGCTTATTCCACCCTTATCCTCAAATACACCTCTCCTGATTATGTCACCCTTATCCTAAATGCATGTCTCCTGATTTTGTCACCCTTATTCCAACCATTTGATATAATCATATCAAAATACAAAACTATGCTAAAAATAGCATAATAACAGTTTCAAAACACCCCACATGGAGAGCCATACGATTCTGTTTTAACACCGACAAATGAAAGTTTTTAAGATAAAACTCACCTTATGATCACAAAGTGATGCAAATATGAAGAATAATCAACATTTATTTATCCAGTCAAGAATCACATAGATCAATTCTTCTTTCTTTCCTTTCGGTTT